CGGAAATGGCCTCGTTTCTCCCTCATAGTATCTACATGTCACATCAGAACCCAACACATCTGTCAGATGATCCAGGTCTTGTACAAATGCCTACACTCTGTTTTCAGAATGCAGAATTTTGGGGGTGATTTTTTCCAAGACAGGGTTGACTGTCGTTCCTTTTTTTGTTTGAGTTTTGCATGTTTTCTCTTCCACAATTCAGCAGATATCCACACGCCTCCTGCTTTGTGGGGAATGAAACCAAATTGCAGAGCTGGGAGATGCTGCGGGGGGTCTGTGGGGTACCCTGGCCCTGAAGGCACTGGGGAGAACAGCTCCCGAGCTGACCCCCATTGCCAGACTGTCACTGACCCACCTGCACCCCGAGGAGGCACCGGCCAACGCTGGGGTCGGGCACACCCGGGGCATCCCGCTCCTGTAACCACCGCGGAGTGTTCCTTAGAGAGGTTTGGAGCAGCAAACGTGGAGTGTGCAGAACAGGAAATACATCTGTCTGTCCAAAACCAAGACAAAAATTAAGACCCAGCATGAGTTTAAAAGATTTCCTTCTGGAATGAGAGCAGAAGCAAATGCACACTCGCCCCGTGTTTCAAATAAGACTGATGAGTGTGTCTCTGTACAGGGGCTGCTGTTTGCTAACGAGGTGACACTCCGTCCTGGTCCCTTACCGACAATTCAGATGGAAATCTGCTCGTCTAAGTTGTGTCTGCCCCAATAAGTAATGACTTTTTCTGTATGAGAATTTGAAAAATACAGTAATAAAGACACATTTCCCTGTGGCTGGGAAGCCACAGCATAACACAACATAACATAACATAGCATAACATAACATAACATAACATAACATAACATAACACAGAGAGGTTCCCCCTTCCCCCTGTCCCTGCCGGGTCACGCTGCCTGGAATCCGAGAAGGCAGGACACGTGCTGGGGGACAGCGCTGCTGATTGCCACCTGTCTAGGAAGAGAAATAGAAAACCCAAAGAAAACAGGCATTTTCTGTCAACAAATAAACAAGGGAGATATTTTCCTATGGACACATTAATTCCTGTTTCCAGCTGAGAACTCCTCAGCACAACAGCAGCTTTTACAAAAACAGAGTAATCGTCGTGAAAATGTCGGGGTTTGGTAGGTAGCTCATAGCAAAGAATTGAGATCAGCAATAATGGATTTTTTTAAGGTGTTCAGCACTCTGTATGTTTTGGGGTTTATTTTTTATTCCTTAGGGAGCCATGCAGGGCTCAGAAAGGCGTGTTTGCTGGTTTCCATGCAGGTCTACACAGCCTTGAGCCCAGGCCGGTGCTCAGAGGAGGGACAGATCCCCAGGCAGCACGGGCAGACGGACGGACAAAGCCCCCGGGGTGACTCTGGGGCCGTGGCCCCCCAGCCCCATCCCTCCTGCCTCCCCAAACAGTGCTGAGGGAGCGACCAGTTCCCTCCTGGGTCCACCCCAGCTCAGCGTGTGCTTGGAGTGTGCTCGGCCAGCGACCTGTCAATGTTTAACGTGGGGACTCCAGGCGGGAGGTGTCACCACCCTCACCCCCCCGGCCCCCCGGGCAGGGCCGCTGGGGCGGGGGGGAAGACACCTCCAGGGCCCCACACAGGTCCCTGGGCAGGCGAGTGCCACCTGCTTCTCGCTGTCCCTGTCCCCGTCACAGGGCTTTGCCAAGGCTAGACAGCTTAAAATACCGCAGACATCGCGCTGCCCTAATTAATGACAGGCAGGCTGTTGGGTCCAGCCCGGGCGCTCTGCCTGAGCCTTGTTGATACGATAGCTGGAGAAAAACATCATGTGAGAGCACCCGCGTGTCCTCCCGCTCCGG